TCCCTACATATAATGATCTATGTTGGTTGATTTAAAAATATGTCCAGAGATGATTTGGTTCTAACTCCCTTGAAAAGGTGGAGCCCAAGTCCCCCTAAACCTCTCGAGAAAGGACCGGCTTCCGATGGACAGAATAAGACAGAGGCGATGGTGGGACTCGCTCAGATCCCCGAGGCACACGGCTTCCTCCCGCCTGTCCCTCTTCCGTCACTTGCTCCAGGGGACCAGCCGCCACGCCGTGAGGACACTCGAGTGGCCCTGTGGGGACGAGAAACCAAGATTCTTCACCAACAGCCATGTGAATGTGCCACCTTGGAGTGTGTTCTCCAGCCACGTGGAGACGCTCACCAAGCCCCCCGCGCAGCGCTCGGCCACCCCTCGCCCGCGGAGCCGGCCGGAGCCGCCGTTCCTTCCAGTCGCTGCGTTTTACGTTCACTCGCTCCGCGGCGAGCGGTAAGTGACCCATCGTGACACCGCATTCTGCCTTTCCCGCAGCCCTTCCTCTACGGCTCCTTTCAGTGGAGTCCTGTTGGCGATCAGCTCTCTGATGTGGCACGTTTTGAGGATGTTTTCATTCTGCCCTCATTCTCGAAAGGTCATTTCTCTGGGAATGGCCGTAGCGGGCTCAGGATTCTGTCTGACGGGCATCAAAGGCCCATTTCACTGTCTCTGCCCTCTGATGCCGTGACGGTTCCTTCGCAGGTAAATGCTTTTCCGTCTCTGGATTCTGTTATGATCTTTCTTTTTATTTATCCTGCTGGGACTTGTTGGGATTCCTGGATCTGAGGACTGATGTTTTTAGACAATTCTAGGGAAATAGAAGCATTTATCTTCATATACCGCCCCTCCTTCCCCGCCCTACCAGGAAATCCCACCCGGTGACCACGGCCGGGTCACCTCGCTCCTGTTCCCATCTGCCTCTAGTCACTGTCTCTTTTTAGCTGCGCTGAAAATTTTATCTAAAGTTTGATCCGCACAAGTTTTTAATTTCAATTATATATTTTTATTTCTAGAAGTTCTAATTTTTTTTGTACTTTATTGGTCACCTTTATAGAATAAAAGATGATACCTTTTAATAGAATAAGAAACCATAAAGACTAATCCTTGTTCACATTTTCAAGAATCTTTTATTTCCTTAGACACAAGTTTATACTGGATGCCGCCTGAAGTGCCTGGTGTGTTTCTCATGGTGGGTTCTTTCCTCGTCGGGGTTTGTGAAAATTTGTTAACCCGGAGACGCTAATTTTCCTTGGAACTTGATCTGCACCAAACCGTGAGGCCCGAAGTCGCATTCCTCCGGAGCTGATCTCAACTGGGGCGACCCGACCCCGCAGTCAGGGGCCTGTGTTTGCGCGCGCGCATGCGCGTTGCTGGCACCTAGCGCAGAGCCCGGGTATGTGACCAGACACCCTACGGTGCCCGGGGAAGCCCCCGACGTCACTGTGCAAGGCTGAGGAACCCCGCTCGAGATGTCTGTGTCCGCCAGTCACCTGGCCCTGCCAGCCTGGGGCCACTGGCAACCCTGTCCTTGAGGTCAGACGTCACCCTGCATGGAACACCAGGGCCAAGGGAGGCCGCTTTTCCCCAGTCGCCTTTGTGTGGCCGGGTCATCCCTGCAGCTGAAGGCGCGGCCTCATGTGTCCGACTCGGCGTCTCCCAGGTTCTGGGAGCCTGGAGCCTGCAGGCGCGGCCACACGCTCGCCCGGAGGCTGTGCCCTGGCTGTTTCGGCCCCTGCAGATTTCTTCACTCCATCTGGCCTGGAGGGCTGGGACGGGCGAGCCAGGCGAAGCAGGGACGGGCTGCTCCGGACGGAATGGCACATGCACAGCCCAGAGGGCGGAGGCTGCCCGCGCAGCCGCGGCCACGCTACTGGAGGGGCTCGAGTCTGGCCTGGGCCTGCCCTGAGTAATGCAGTCGTGGAAGGGTTACGGGCAGGGGACAGTGCACTTTTCAGTTCTAGAAATGTCACAGGCTGTGTTTGGAGACCCTGAGAGCAGAGCCCCCCGGCCCCAGTGGGGGTGGGCTTAGGGCCTGGGCTGGTTTAGGGGGATGGGTTGGGGGATGAGGAGAGGCAAATCCAAGAACCGTGCGGGACTTGGGGGCGTCCTGGTGGGCAGGTCCTAAGGGGCCCTCCGTGGCTGGTACTGGGCTCCAGTCCTCCTGGGTGCTGGAGGCTACACCTGGCCCCCCACTTCCAGGAGAAACCACCCCATCCTCCAAGGAGGGCAGCTTGCAGGCTGGGATGATTTGGGGCCAACCTGGCACACGGGCTGCCGCCTAGACCCCCAGCCTGCACTTGGGACCCTCCTCTGTGGCTGGGCTACTCCTCAGGGTTGTAGGATATGCGCCCCACCTGTGGGGGTCCCTGTGCTTCATACAAGCCCACGCCCTACTTCTGGGGCCCTCAACTGCACAACCTGCCTATGTTATTGTGCCCTCGGCTTGGGAGTCCCCATAGAGACGGCACCAGGCCCCTCCTGGGGTCAAGGCACCCATTAGCAGGCCTGGCCTGGTGAGTGGGGTTGGGGTGGGCAGTGACCCCTGCTGAGGACCCAGGCCCAGCCTCCTCCCTGGGGCTGCAGCTCAGGCTTTTCTGAGAAGTGCTCTCTCTCTCCCAGCCCAGACCCGGGGGCCAAGCTGGGGCTGGGGGGACACAGGGAGTGACAGATCCCCCATACCCGGGGAACCTGTGGGGTGGGCCCCGATGCGGGTGCTCAGCCTACAAGGCAGCTTGGGGAATCTCCGGGAGGCCCAGACACGCTTCTTGGGGACGGGGCCCTCTCCAGAGTAAGGCCACATCTGAGTGACACTGGTGACCACAGCCTGCCTGGCCTGGTGGGCCCAAGGTCCTGCACCTGGGTCACAGATTGCTTGGGGCTGAGTCTTGGCCAGGACGGATGACAGCGAACCCCAAGTGGTTTAGGGCTGGAGTCCGTGTGGAGGGGGCCAGCAGGCCACCCTTCTAACCCCACTCTAGGACCCTCCAGCCTTGGCCCAAGTGTGAACTCGATACCAGCCCCTGGGGCCCCCTGGAACCAGCACAAGTACAACACCCTCAGAGCCATCCCCACCCTCTCCGTCTGCTCCCGGTGACGGACAGTCCCCTAGTCTTGGAGCCCTGGGTTGAAGGAAGATGCCCCTCAGGTGTCCCAGCCCACCCCAGGGTCCCTTACTCCCCGCCCCATCTGAGACATTATGATGGGGCTCCGGGGCCCAGGACCAGCGGACGCATAATGCCCTCTGCTGGCCGCTAGCAAAAGTGCGCCTTAGTGTGACCAGTACCATTTACTGAAGACCCTAGCTGGGAGGGGTGTCAGGTCAGCTGTAAACATGGGGGACAGGGCTGCCAAAAGCCCTCCTTCCCGGGGCGGCCTGAAATCTGGTAAACACGAGGAGGGGTCCCCCACTGGCAGGAGCTTCAGGCTGTGTCTGCACGCTGCAGCTCTCCCCCATGTCAGCCCCAGCCCCCAGACAGGCCAGGCCATCCCTGGGGACGGCCTACCCGACGGCCACACCTGGGGTTGGGGGGATCCGGGGGAGCCCAGATTGGGACGATGGTGGGCTATGTCCAGGCCAGTCAGGTCGTCTTCAGCCCGAGAGGTGGGGATCAAGGTGGGCCCAAGGCCAGTGCTGGGCCAAGCTGAGAGGCCCCCGTCTGAGGCCAGCTAGATGAAGGTAGAGTCCAGAGGCCCGGCGTCCTGCTGGCTGAGGGCACGGGCCTCAAACAGCTGCTTGATGAGGGCACACTTCTCTTGCTCCAGCTGCGTGATCCGCTCACTCTTGTCTGTCACCTCCTGGCAGACAGGGGACAGTCAGGGCCTGCCAGGCTGCCGGCTCCCCTACACCCATCCCACGCCTCACCTGGGTGAGAAGTCGGTTCTGCTCTTTCAGCATGAGAATGGTCTGCTGCTGCCAGCCGGAGGCCGAGGGCGAGGCAGGGGCCATGCTGGGGCACGGGGGCCCCGAGGAAGACGAGGGCAGAGCCTACAGGAGGGCATGGTCAGGCAGGCCTGGCAGGCCTGGCTCAGCCTCCAGGACGAGGGTGCAGGGTGGCACCGAGCTGGGCCTGGACCCCAGCATGGGTACCGGGTGGTCCGGGGACACTCACCCTGCCGGCACAGGCCGCAGCCAGCAGCTCCCCCAGGCACCGAGCCACCTCCTGTACCTTGGGCAGTAGTCGCCCCAGAGGCGGGGGGCTCCCCTCAGCCCCGAAGTCCTGGGAGGCAAGCAGGGGAGGGGTGGTCAGAGAGCAGCCCAGAGTCAGCCACTGTGCCCTGAGGGGGTGCCCACCGGTGGCACTCCTGCCTCTGGAAGTTACCACCCAGAGCCGAGAGCCCAGGGGAGTTGCTGGTGGGGAAGCGTCACAGTCAGGGGCCCCTCTGCCCGGGGAGATGTCACTCACGGCGCTGGCCCTGTTCCGGCCCAGGCGGCGCTGGCGCTCCTGCACACGCTGCAGCTGCTGCTGGTACCAGTCGCGGCCCCTCGCCATCATCTGCAGACCCTGCAGCAGCACCTCCTTCTCCTGCTCCAGCTCTGCCATCTGCTTCAGCTGCCACGTGTGGGGACACAGATGCCGCTGAGCACACGGCAGTGAGGGCCCGCGCACACCTACCTGCAGGCGCACACCTGCACACGTGAGCCCGCACGCGCCTCTGCACTGAGCACAGCAGGCCCTTCCCCCTGGGGGTCCCTTAGTGCCCCTCTCCCCTGGCTTCCCTAGGGAGCACAGGTGACTGGAGCTCGGCACCCCTTCCTGAGGGGGACAGTGAGCATGCGGCTGGTGAGCCGGGCCAAAAGCAGTTCTTGCGGGTGGCCAAGCTCATGGCTACAGCACGTCCAGGCTGCCTCCCACCTTGCCTGACCTTAGAGTGGATTCCTAAAGTGGATTCAAGCCCAGGTGCGGAAAGATGCTGAGAATTGACCCACGTGCCTGCCACAGGCCATCCCCAGAACCCAGGAGACCGAGCGTGGGGGCCTAGTCCCATCCTATGCAAGATGGAGAGAGCCCCAGAGCCCCCTCGGAGCCCACTCACCAGGTCACAGTCCACGCCGTTGGTGATGGTGTGCCTCCGACGTCCTCGGGCCCGGGGAGCCCGCCAGGCATCCCCCACGCCTGGCTCCCAGGCCCTGCAGGCCACTGCACCTGCAGCAGAGGCGAGGACCGTCCAGTCAAGCTCAACCCCCACAGCCTGGCTCCAGGTCCGTCCAGACCACTCTCCCACGGCCCCGGCAATGCAAAGCCTTGATCCAGGCCTGCACACCTCTGGGGTCGTGGGCAATTCAGAGCCTATCTGGGCCCCGCCCCATCTCAGTCCGGCCTGGGGTCTCAGGCAGCAGCCTAGCCCTGCCCACACTTCGCCTCCGTGTCTGGCTGGGGTCTGGTCTCCACTTGGCCCCCACCTGCCTTGGGGTGGGCCATGTGGCTGCACACCTGCACACCCTACGTGCGCGTGTGCACATGAGCTGGGCGTGAGCTTCCGAGGGCAGGGCTTACCTAGCCGTCTCTGCACCCCAGTGCCCACCTTGGGCTCAAAGGCTGCAGGTATGGACAGCGTGAGCAAGTGCGGGGCCTCTAGTCTTCCCCGCCCCTTCCCCTGTAGCCCGGCCCGGCGAGTTTGTGCGGGCACCACGTGCAGCTGTGCGTGGCAGAGACCTGACTTTTCCCAGGCAGGTGCTGCACCGTGGTCAGTCCCAGGCCCCCGTGGAGGCGCAGTGCACTCCGTGAGCAACTCAGGAGCTTCTGCAGCTCCCATGTCCGCCTGCGGCCGGAAGGCCAGGGCTTCCCTGTGACAGTCCCCTGGAGTGCCGGCTAGTTTCCTTGGGGGAAGGGGAGCATGCGCAGGGCCCCCCCAGGAGGGGAGGAGTGGGGTCAGGCGTGGAAGTCACCCCCCCTCTGGCTCCCTAGCTGCAGCCACCACACCTAGCTCTTCTTCAGAGGCCATGCCCTTGGCACTGGGCTAGGGGAGTGGGCGGGTGCTGCAAGCAGGGGGTGCAGGCACGCATGGCAGAGACATGCCCCGAGGGCTTGCCAGCCCTGGCAGACAGGCTCCGAGCAGGCCCCGTGTTCACGTTCCAACCTGCCATGCGGCCAGCAGAGGAGGTACAGGCGGAGGGAGGCGGGGCACGGGGGACACCCTGGGACGCCTGGGCCATCTGCACTGGCGCGTCTGCAGGGCAGCTCCTGGTCCCCGGATGACAGCACACTGGATGTCCAGCTGGGTGACCAGTAGGCAGAGCCAGCCCTGTCCCTGTCTGGGCCTAAGCTGGCAGCCTGTACCTAAGGGGCTAGGCCGGGCTGAGGTACAATACACACTGGGCCCCAACAGGAAACGAAAGAGAGGGCCTGGATCTCTGGAGATGGGCTCTTTGTGTGGCTTCTCTTCCTGGGGAGCCGGGGGGTCTCAGAGCTCCAGATTTGGCACCCCAAGAACATGTCACACCCTTTGTCTGGGCCTCTGCCTGTAAAAGGTGACAGCGAGAGCCCTCGCCTGAGGCTCGTGCTGCCCCGTGGTGGGCACTGGGCACATGCCCAACCCCGTGCCAGCCAGAGGAGCACAGTAACTGACCCACAGGGCTGAGGCCTCCAAGCCCCAATTCCACGGCTGATTCCATGGATGGCACTGACCCTGCACTTGGGGCCAACCACACCCAGAGGTCGCCCCCCAGACACACACCATGGGGTCAGGGAGGCTGGGCAGCAACGGGCAGGGGGAGTCTCCAGCCTGGGGTGAGCTGCTGGGTCAGGTCATAAGGGAGGCCAGAGGCCACTGTGGCCCACAAGTGCCGGCCACGGGGCTGGGGACTATGGCGGAGGCCAGGCGGGGTCCAGTGAGGCTGGCAGAGCAGCAGGCACCACAGAAAGGGCTGGAAGCTGCCACGGGTGGAAGGAAGGCCCTACACCGGCGGTAGTGCAGGTCCTATCCCCAGGGCAAGCACAGGGGCCAATCAGCCACCTTCTGTCCCTGCCAACTGCCGGCCATGCCCAGGGGCTGTGCCCTGTGTCCCTCCCTAGGGTCAGAGGTGGCTCAGCCCCCCACCAGGGCTGAACACCCATCCACCCATTTGCTCCTCCTGGCAATGGGGCCAGGTCCTCAGTGGGGGACAGACACCCCATCCTCTTGGTGGAACTGTCAGACTGAGAAGGACCCAAGAAGGCAGTGAGGGCCTCTTGCCACAGTCTGGGGGACCCTTTCTGGGCACTAGAGGGGAAAGTCTCTGCCTAAGCAGTCACTGGTTGTGGGATCCAGGGTTGAGGGCCCAGGTGTCCCCCGGCGTGCGGAAGTATGGAAGTGGAGAGCGCCCTCGCACCCAGGGCCCAGCTCATGTTTGGCGCAGTGGCTTTTGGTGCGGTTTGCCGGGTCACCCAGCAGTCCCTTGGCGCTGGCGGCCTCATGCTGTGGTAGAGGAAGGGCTGGACTGCCTCCTGGCCGCTGAGCACACTAGGACAGGTAGAGGCCCCTTTCCCCCTGGGCCTGGAGGCGCGACCCAGGCTCATGAACCCAGAAGGAGCTTCCTGCCCCCGTCCCCCGGGAGGAGATGCGGAGGCGGCACTTCCCGGGCTCCGGCCGCAGGCGCTGGCCCGGGGCAGCCACGAGGAGAAGCGCCCCGCACTCACCAGCGTCCGCGCTGGGGCTCCGCTCCAGGGCCGCGCCCTGCGGCCGCTCGGGATCCGCGAGGCCGGGCGCGGCCTCA